AAATTAGAATTGAATATAGAATTAAAATAATTAGAATTAAAATAAATTAGAATTGAATGTATCAATTCGAAATAAATAAATTAGAATTGAATATAGAATTAAAAATAAATTTAGAATTAAAAATAAATTAGAATTGAATGTATCAATTCGAAATAAATTTCACAGAAAATATTTTGAGAAGCATTTGCCAAGAAATTTAATTACTTAATAGTCTAAATTGTTAAATCAAACGAAATGGTTTAATTTGAAAACAGTTAGATTATTTCTTGAAGATTTAATAAGTTAAACTGATGTTTACTTTAGATGGTATCAATGATGTTAATGTTTTTTGATAATATGCAAATTACATTCGAAAAAATATTTGATTTTCTTTACGATTTCTCGTAACTTTAAAGTTCGCATTTTTTTTTTCTCTCTCTCCTTTACCGAAATTTTAATCAATTTATCATTTGCAAACCGTAATAGCAAACGTTAATTTCATTGATTTATCGTAGCTTTTTTCTCTTTTTTATAGAATGCAACAAAATTCGAACGATTAAATGGCTTATCACTTATTTTATTACCAGATGGAGAGAATGTACGAAATGATCTCTTAGAAAGGTTAATTAATTCATTTGAATATTTTAATATCAAATATTAGACATGTTACATTCATCCATTTCCTTGCTATTATATTCATTCTCATTATTGCATACATTATTCATATCCCTATAATAATAAATCATTCCGGAAAATTAGACCGGAAATCTGCAATCGGATCATCCATTTTTATTACAACTACGATTATTATTATTGAAGTGAGAATATCGATCGATGATTGTGGAGGATTGGGTTTTATTTTGTATAGTTTTCAAATTGATAAATAAAATTTTGGTAAAAATTCCTCCTCCAAAAATTTTCACAATTCCAGAAATCGTTCGTTACATTATTTGTGCATTCTGTCCATATTACATCAGGCCAAAGGTCATCAACGTTGTGCTATGTATGATACTTGGGTACAAATTGCTCGTGCATTATTTTATCAATATGGTAATGCATTTTCATTTCTAACACTTCTCGATGCATTATGTTCAGATCACGTAAGTTTTTGATAAGTTCAAAGTTGAATTTGATTTGGATTGAAATTTGATTTGAATTTATTTATCAATAAATTCCTACTGTTATATCAGTTATAGTCTGATAGACATTTGCAAAATATTCATAATGAAAGAAGAAAAAGACCGAGCAAGGTCTTATCATTGGAAATTCGAAATTCGATAGGTTAAGAATGTAAAAGGAAATCGTTACGTTGTGACGGTTTAAAGTTTTTGTTGCGGAACAGAAATTGAAATTTCATTAAAATTTTATTTCCGGGTAGTTTTCTGTAGACATGACATACATTGTGTGGGAGGTGTAAATTCCTCTCGAAAGTATTTTAGTTAGCTTGCTTGAAGCTTATCCGGGAAAGGCGATCACCATCAAAAAGGCTTTTATATGCTTTACAAAGCTTACATTCTCTATGAAGCACGGAATGTTACAAACCGGTTCTTGTAAAAATGGGTACTATAACTGTCTAATTTTAAAGCAATCCGCAACTTCAGATGATTGCTACAACCTTGGCCTCTTCAATTTTTACAATTTTCCTTGATTTAATTATTTGTTGGCATAATTAAATAGAATCAATAAGTGTGCTTCAGGTGAAATCCGTCCTTACCGAAGAATACTCACGAACATTGCAGCAAGAGCTTGAATCAGTGGCATGCAAATTGCATCAGTGTGAACCATTACCGCATAATTATCCGCAAATCAATATACCATTTATGCAACCACTCCTTAACATTCTCTCAAATAACCCTTCTTACCTCAATGATACGGGCAATAATGGTAGAACATGGGGAACGGAAGTGGGCAAGTTTTCCTAATACTACACGATATTTATTCTACCATAAAATACACTTTTTCCTATCCGGAATAAATCAGAGACTTTGTTTGCAAATGCCGCACGGATTTCATGAAACAAACGGATTTATTCAGATATTTTAAGATTGCAACTAAACATATTGTCATTCCTATCTGCTATAGGTGATGGATCAACAAGTTTGCACATAAGTATGTGAGACATACGTAAGCAAGTAATTATGCAATTAGCATTCATGAGTTTAGTAGAAACATTGCAGATAATCTATGGAAATGGCTTCAAGAAGGTCGACATTGGATCAAACAAGCTGTCCAATTTAATGCAAATAGTTCGATTTTATGCAATGAAAAAATATCCCATGGTGACAATTTTTTAAGCACAGAATTTAGTCTGAAATTATTATTTGGAACAAAAGATTTCTCGATGGATATTGAGAAACGTTATGATAAATTGGCTGCAATGGTTTATGCTTTCAAAGAACGTTGTAATTGAACTTGTTGATCATTTCATTGCTAATGTATTTTGCAAAATTTTTTAAAAATCATCAAAAAATATACAACTCATTTTTGAACCTAACTATTAGATCATTCAGAACATTCAATTTCAACTAATAAAATAATCCTTGGCATATTTAAATCACTCAAGCCCAGGCTATTCATTTAAATCTTCACATTCATTGAATTCTTTTTTTTCCCTCAGTACGATAATGTTTTCTTCAAGTTCAGCAACTATATAAGTTTTATTTAAAATTACAATATTATCTTTTGTACGATCTAAAATGAATATCAGAAAAGTGGAACAGTGGTTTATGAATGTTTCTATCAAGCCATTGTATCATCATATACAAATCTAGGCAATTTATTATACTTTCATTTTACTACTTAAAAATAGAATCTGTGACAATCAATGAAGGTAATTTTAGTCTTGATCCATTTCATTCCGGGAGTTGTTATTTTCTATTGGTATTAATGCGATATATTATCATACCAATTATTAATTTATTATGTCATGCCATAAATTTTGATGCTCATTTCCATGTTTACATGTATCTTTAACCTGATCTAAAATAAAGATAACAAAGATATGTTGCATGCAAACTTTCAAAAATAGTTTATTTACGCACGATAAGAAGAAAAATGAATCGTATGACTGTCCCTTTTATAAAGAGTTATCTATGGAAGTGTCTTACTTTTAATTTTCATTACATCATTTTCATTAAACCTTAAAATCTACAAGAATTGCATCACATCCGCTTCCATCAATAAATTTGACTTATAAGTCAACTTCTTTAACATTGATTGATTTGATAATATTAATATTTAAAGCTACATTCCAGAGATAAAGTAAATTTAGATCTCATTGAAATTATTTTTTCGTTCACAGATCGAAAGCGTATTTTAATTCGTATCCTTGGTGATATGATCATTAGTTATCCGTGATGAAACAATTAAAACTTTTTAAATTGAATTTCATTAAATTAATCAGTTAAGCTATGATAAGGACTTCTGGTAAGCCTGGAGCAGAAAATTTTACGATGAATATGTCAATGCATTTTGCTTAATCTATTTTTGTCAGTTGTGGATTAACTCAAGTGATAGACAAGTCTTTGATAGCCAATAGTTCCAATGTCAACTGCTATATTAACAACTATCAATACTACCAATATGGAAGATTTAAAGCCTAGATTTCAAAACTAGCCTAAAGTTTCAGGCATCGGCCCTTTCTATATGCCCTCAACTAATTAATTTAATGGAGTTTAATTTAAAAAGTTTTAATCGTTCCATCACGAATAACGAATTAGCAGTGCCTTACGATAACCATGTGATATAATTGTCCTCTTCTTGAGCAAAAATAACTTTCGATACCTATCAATGAATTTTCTATGACATATACCTTTGTTGTTTGTCAACAATGGCGGAAGAAATTATGTCAAACAAATGAATTTCATTTTGATCTTTTGACCAAAGTTTCTACTAGTCCATATTTTGATTTCTAAATTCAAAGAATATTCAGATTTGTCACAAGAATGAAAGCACTTTGAAAGTTTTAGGTCACAACCGATCACTCAACCCATACTTTTTTTTAACTTATACACATACACATACACATACACACACATACACATACATATGTAGTATATATATTTTAATACACATCGTAATGTCACATATGAGACAAACTAAAACAGAGAAAGTACTCAGCAATCAGAAGAACTCTTGATTGTCAATCCGGTTTTCAGCAATCATTTGTAATCTATGATCAATTTGTCATCTTCCAACTTTCCAGAATTTTCTGATCATGTCAAAAGTTAGCAAACAGTATGGAATCAACATATTCAACACTATCAATTCATCCTTTCACATCACTCTTACACTCATTTTTTCATTTTCACTTTGGTATTTCATAAATATGTATATATATTTGATGAGTCATACCTATAACATATATATTAACCTATAAGAAGTATACTTTGTACCAACTGTCAACGCTACAGTTTCGAACAAATATTGACTTTGGTGCTAACCAAAGATCACTATTAACCGGTTGGTTCAACTTCCTTTCTCTCTCTCCCCCTCTTTCTCTTTCTCTCTCCCTTACCCCAACACTATCGGTATTAATATATCACTGTCAGCCCCTTTAATCCCTGTTTTCCCGAGATTTTTTAGAAAAGCAAATATGTTATATGAGCAAGACATGGATAGATGGCAGAAAGAAACATATTTAATGAATCATAACCCATATGACATTCTCATCCACTTCGGTCAGAGTTTACATTTGCATATCTCTTCAAAGGATGCTTACATATACATGCCTTAAAGGTTTCAATCGATTGGGAGTTGTCGGGGAATGTATGGAGGACAAGGCGGTATAAAGTGACTAATTATAGCTATAACTAATTACGGCGAAATTATTTTGCCGATGTGTCGATAGAAATGTACAATGAATGATAGATATCACTATATCTTGAATGAAAATGGATGAGAAAGTGCGGGAAAACGGAGGGGGAAGTGGGAGCGGGGGATCGAGGAAGGAAGAAATCACATGATCAATGGTGAGAGGATTCCTGATTCTGTGTCATACTGATCTGATGTTAAATTTGATCCATTGCATGAGACATTCAGTTCAAAGTTTAAAGGTTAACTCGAAGTATGCCATGGAATCAACTGAATGGAAAACTGGCTAAGGTGAAAGGTGCATGAAAATGAAAAATTTTTGACCTGTTGGCATTTAAATTTCGCTGCAAATCACTTAAATGCATACCGTAACTTAAGCAGTATTTCTATGCAAATGCGCATTTTAATGGAGATCTGATGATGTAATCTTAATAATCTTAAGATTTGGGCGTTCTCAAGGATGTTCTTATTGCAAGCAATCAGTCATTCACATATGCCATCCTTTAGATTAGTGACCTTTTGATGACCGTTATAAGGTTGATGCTATGGAATATCAGAGGAAACAGAAGAAATAAATGAATGACAAAAACATTCGATTTGTCCTCAGACCGAATTGTTTGCATTCATTTCTATTTCCTTCTGCATTTCACGTGATTTGTTTGGAATGCAAAGAAAAGGTGATCTTGAAAGGTCACCAAAAGATCGATGCTTCGTTAGCGCTTCATTATAGGTTACTGTTTATTTCTAGCCAAATGAAACCAATTAATTAGTTCATTCGCACTATTAGTTGTGTAAGTCACATGAGAAAAGTGACCTTCCTCTAATACATCAAAGATTACAATGAGATCGGTAATGACTGATGTCACTGATATCGCCAATAGAAACAAAGGAACAACAACCCCCCTTTGTTGAAAGCCAGAGATCTTTGTTTTATATGCTCATATCGTCTTATGTTTGCGCTAACAAAGAACACTATATCAATGGGCGCTTCATACGGATGCTAATTCTTATAATCATAAAACGTTACAAAGCCCTCCCACAAAAGGAAGCGGAGGATCCTAAGCTCCAAGTCATTTCATCAGGATCGGTTGGATATGCTACGTCAGTTTCCGTCATTTGGTCTCCATTTGTTCTTAGTGGTTTCGTTATCAATTTGTTGTATCGATATCGTGTAATTGTTAAGTTCATTGTTGTATTAATAAATTTATCGTAATAAAAGGTTTAATTAGCCAAGTTTAAGTAAGGTATTACTATCCAAAGAAACAGAAAGAACCTTCAATTTTTTGTAACAATTGAAGAAAATTGGCTAAAACTGACCAGAATCGAAGAGATGTGATTGAGCGTAAAACTTCACATGTAACTTATCCTTTCAAAAAGGCTAAAATATTCAGGGAAGCATTGATATATCTTCCGACACTCATACGTAGATTAAAATCGATGAAGTAAAATGTTCATACAAGCTCAATTTTACCGAAATCATCCCTGATTTTACCATAAACCAACCGTCACGTACGGAGAAACGTGCGTTTGGCTTCATTCAAAAGTTAATTTCGTAGCTTAATAGATGCAGATGAATTACTACAGAATCATGAAGTACCTGTACTTAATCGTTGCTTAGGTATGGTTAGAGAAAGGAATAGAGAACTCTTCCGCTATTAATTTGTTCTATTACTTTTCCCAACTTATTATTTTGATCTTGGGAATCCATACCTTAATGACAAATGGTTAAATAGCCTAAGGATCTACCAGGAGAGAAAAATTCATTCGGACATTATTCACCAGCCTATAAGCCCACAGTCCATTTACTGAATTTAATGGATAGTTTGTTATGAACAAGTAGGGAAAGGAAAATGGAAATTGTTCCTCAATTAGCAATATTGAGATGATTAATCCGGAATTCGATTAAAATCCGGTTAACTTCCAAATGTTCTATGTTTTATTTTTCATCCCATAAATTTGGGGAATAGAATCAGGGGGAAATAAAATATATTTGAGTAGAGAAATATGTTAAGAGTAAAGCCAAGGATAAGGTTGACAGGATGGGTGAGAAAGAAGTGTGATAAGTGTTGTTGAGCCCAGAGGAAATCATGACAGTCTGCTGTCATCTCTGTCCGCCATGCATCTAATGAATGTTCTGATTGACATTTTCCGCCTTTCGCTCTCTTCTCTTTCAATTATCTTCAGTTGAAATATGTGAGCATGCCTTTGAATCTCGGCTCGTTTCCTCTCATCAGGAATGATGTGAAGAACATATCACATCAAAATATGCAAACATACATACACACACACACACATTCATAGATACATACATACACACATACATACATACATATACATACCATAGTTAGGGATGAGGAGGATAGAAGAGAAAAGGGGGTGTGTACGTCTACAGAGGTGCTTGTCCACGAAAGTCCAGGCCTAACATGCCTTAAGGGAGAGGAAGGAGCATTGCATATAGTGATTGGCCCAGTGCTTCCAATCGTTCTTTTCATTTCCTCTTTTTTTTTCTTCTTAATAAGACTCTGCATTGCATTCCATTGCCGACACATCTTTTTTCTCCCACCGACTTTCAAAGGCTCACATTTCTATCATTTGGCTCAGTTTCTTGAAAGCCTAGCATTTGATTAAACATTCCCAGCCATTCTTCAATTATTCCTCTAATTTTATTGCTAACACTTCTTATTAACCTTTCAATATGTTTGTCAATTTGAGGCGGTGTTTGATGAAAGAAATGAGCGGAATAGGGGGAATTGATGAGATATCTTTATGTCAGAGAGATCATCATCGTTAGCTTTTTGTCATCATTTGTTAGTTTATTGTCAGCCATCGTCCTCTCTTTCTTATCATCCTTTTCTCAGAATTACAAAAAGGAATGGGTGTCATTTTTGAAAATGCAACATCACCGTCTCTTTAAACTTCAATGAAATTTTCCCTTTTCACTAATTAACAGTAACGGTAATAGGTAATAAGGACAATATGAATACAATAATGATAAGGATAGCATTAATATTAATATTAATATTAATACCAATATTAATGTTTTTATCATTTCTTGGACAATATCGTTGTGAATGTGAAAAATAAATTTAAATTGAAAATTTTTCGCAATTTCTCCTTTTTTCTCGCACACGCTTGGAATGGTTTCCTTTCCGGATGAATTAAATATTATCAAAAAATAAATTGCCATTACTGCTAATTGTTGACAGGTTAACAGAGTGAATCATTCGCTAAGATTTCTATGACAACATGAATCTCTCTCCCTCAATTTAATTCAATTCAATTTAATTCAGTTCCATTTCATTTCCTTCCTCAATTTCAATTGAGAATTCAACCCTTCTTTTGTTACGAAAAATTTTATTTGCCAGATGACTGCATCGAACTTTTAACCTTCCATTTGGATGAGGAAATTGTTTAATTGATATTGATCAAATTTCCATTCAATAATTCTCTCATCAATTCAATCTTTTTATAAATTTTTATCGCAAAATTGAAAAAGTATTACGTCTAGATGGAAAAAAAAGAGTGGGATGAGTCATACAATTTCAATTTATCAACGTACATACTTGAAATTGTTAATTCCAGCAAAAATAAACGATTTGATAGCTTTTTTTTTTGGCTGCTACAAATATCAACCGATTTGATCGATAAATGATGTGGATTGAACTGGATCGGTCTGGATTACATTAGGCTGTTTGAATATCAACCGATTTGATCGATAAATGATGTGGATTGAACTGGATCGGTCTGGATTACATTAGGCTGTTTGAATATATATAGGAATATTTATTTACTGAAAAAAAGAAAAAAGAGAAATGATATATTCTCATTCATATTCGTTACAACAAATACTTCCTAACTTTTTTCTTTTTTTCTTTTTTCCGGTATTTTTTCATCTAAAAATTTTCATAAATTCGTGATTTTTTTTCCCTTAATATTGCGTATAGTTTATGTTGTAAATTTCTAAGCTTATAAATAAAATGCCTATAATGGTTGGAATTAATTGAATCAGTGCAAAGAGAAAATTGTAATGAACTAATTTCGCATTA